TATATATATATATATATATATATATATATATATATATATATATATATACACACACACACACACACACACACACACACACTAAAAAAGCAGCAGCAACTGCAAAACGTACTCTCTAGTGTATTTAAGATCTTGCTCCTCAGCATATGTCCAGTTTGGCTCAAATAAACTCATAAAAATTTTTTACAGATTTGACATTTCTCACATTGACATATATATTATCTCTGACTCTTACAAAAGCCCTAAAATGTAAATATCTCCATTTTACAGATAGGGGAACTAAGGCTCAGAATCAAGTGACTTGTCCAATACCACACATTAATTATGTAGGTGTCTGCAAAAGCTAGTATTCAATATGAGATTTGCTTCTCCAAAACACGTGCTTTTGCTACTAAGCATGATGCCTTTGGCAACAGCAAGTTGCCTAACTTCTGTTCAGGACAAGCTAAGCTTGAAATACTAGGGCTGAACAGGAAATGAAATTGTGAAGTCAAACAAAAGCCCAGGCGTCTTTTAAAAAACCCCACACATAGGAGAAAGAAAAACAACACAATGCCCTTCTAACCAATGAAAAATCATTGCAAAAGGGAAAGTACTACCTTTGAAAGAGGCACTTTGCCCTCAAGAGGTGTGGCCAGTAGGCTTCCTCCAGTAAGAGCTATTATCTAACCACAAACCAACTGTCTATCATTACACTGCACTTTAGCAGACACCTATGATTGGCCAACGGAGAGCAGCTTTTGAATTCAAAGGAAAGATCCAAATAACCACAGGTTATTACTCCAGTGAGAAAGATAAAGCTTTGTTGTTAGAGGAAACTCCAACTGGGGTCAGAGATTAGGCACTCAAGCTCTGTAGTAGGGTAAAACTATTACCTCGCTAACTGGTGTTATTACTAGAAAATTCTTCATCAAATTAGCTCTTATTTTAAGTAAAACCTATTGAAAAGATATGCAAAACCTTATGAAGTCATTTTGTAAACTGCAAAGGATTACAAAAAGGCTAGTAATACAAATGTTTATAGTTTAAGAGTCAATTTAACACATTAATCTTTAAAGAGAAAGTAAAACTTGCTTGTCTGTAAAATTTGCTTGACTATATCAGGAAAGAGTGGCAGAGTCAGAAGCAGCCACAATTCCTGATGCCTTCTTTCCTGCTCATCACTAATCACATGTCAAGTTACTGTTCCTGTCTCCCATTTTCCCTCTGCTGTTCCATTGGACCACCAAGTGCACTGTGTATCCTCAGTACTTTCCTTATTCTGGAGAAGACATACATAACAAAACCTATAAAGGAAACAAAAAAGTATACCAGATGACTTTATGAAAAAGAAACCATGGTCTCAAGTTATAGACAGAAAAACTGCATTTTCTTTCCTTCATTCTGAGTCTGGAATGAATCATCAGCTTAATAAAATAGAAAGATAAATGAAAAAATTTTCAGCCCCACCAACTGGATCAGTTGGTATCTGGGCATCAGGTTTCATCCCCAGTCAGGAAGTATACAGAAGGCAACTGGCTGATCTTTCTCTTTCTCCCTCTCTCTAAGCATGTCCTGGGATGAAGATTAAAAAATATAGAGCCCTAGCTGGTTTGGCTCAGTGATAGAGCCTCGGCCTGAGGACTGAAGGGTCCTGGATTCAGTTTGGTCAAGGGTACATGACGGGTTCCAGGCTTGATCTTCAGTAGGGGGCATGCAGGAGGCAACCAATCAATGATTCTCTCTCATCATTGAGTTTCTACCTCTTTCTCCCTTTCCCTTTTTCTCTGAAATCAATAAAAAATATTTAAAATATATATATATATACACACACATATATATACAAGTTCCTCTGACAAATTCCGCAAAATAGGAAGCACTAAAATTTTAGAGAAGTTAAAATGCTGAAAAGAACTTTATAATTCAATCATATTTCCCTCAGCAATAGCTTCTAATTTAGAAAGTTTAATCAATAGATAAGGCTGAAAATGACAACATTTTAAATTTTATACCCTGTATTACATTCATTAAATGAAGCAATATGGAACTACTCAGAGAGCCACTAAACCAGTAATGTAGAGCATTCAGAATTGTTTTTGTTGAAACTCACTTTATTTAAAAAAAAAGTCATGAACAATAAATTACAATCATTTCCCCCCCCTTTTATAAATTCTTCATAAAATATATTTGACAATTTTAAAAGAAAATTTCAAAAGTTGCTTTCATTTTTGAAGTGCTGATGACTTATTTTTTGACCATTTTGTCATGCTGGTGAATTATTTTGTAGCTGCTACAATAGTTTGATCAACATTTTACAGTTAAAAACAACAACAAAGAGGAAAAAACAGACCAGCAGAAAAACTATTCAGTGTGCTATTTATCTGACACTTAACACTTACTTCATCATAATGACAAAGTATCCCTTAGCACCAAAAAATCTACAGAAACCCCATCTTTCTAAGTGACAACTAGTCCAAAATAACATTCTAGGAACTAACTGTACAACTCCATATTTTAACTGGTCACAGCTGCCTACAAGCTTATTTTAAATATTTGGTCTTTTTTTAATTAAGACAAATTTCATAAAACACTATAAAATCATGGCAAGAGACTCTATGAAGAATAATTGTTTATTGAGTACCTATTATGGGCAAGGCACTGTGCACAAATTCTTTCTTTCATTTTTCCTATAGCAAATATACAAGAATTTTCAAGTATTGCTAATCTCTTGTTTTTCTTACTCCAGGCTGGAAAAGACCTATGGCTATACACCATTTAAAAATTGTCATTTTATCAACTGATGTTTAGTGCTGAGCACACAGTAGGTACTTAATAAATACCTCCTGATTGAAAGGACAAATAATGACAAAGAATTTACTGTTGTTTTCCTTGGTATCTAAGGCTATTTTAGGATACAAAGACTTGAGAAAATTCCAGAAGAGACTTCCTGACCACATCACACCCTTACCACCAGTGAAAGAAAAGAATTTTACCTCACAGGTTAAATCTTTCAAAATAAATTATAATCATCAACTTTTAAATGAAGTAGGACCAAAAACTGTATACTTAGAAAAGGATGGCTCTGAGCACATAGATATTTGAAGAGCTTACCATCACCTGAATCATCATAAATCTGTCATGTTATTAACAGACATTACAATGATGCTCTTTACTTCCAGTAACTCAATCTCCTTAGCCAGATCTATGTTATACTAATTTGGTGATCTAGAGAGTCAGTTATCATGAGGTGCCAATATATTGTTCCACCTCCTATTATCTTGAAAGTGATGTTAAAATGATTTTTTTGTCTTCATTTTAAAAGACGTTATTTCAATAAAACCTTTTAGTCCAAGTTTTAAACTTCCGGATCAAGTAACACATAGTTCAGAAAGTTTATATACTCTAATTTCTTTGTGCTTTTTTACCTTTTATAGTCCCCTGAACAAATTTTAAATAAGAAAAAAAGTTATGATAGCAATATTCCAGAAGTTGTGGAAGTTCAAAAGGAACATCTGGAGACTACACAAACTATCAATTATTTCAATATTCTAACTTTTAAAAATACTTTTGACCAAAGGTTCTAGTGCTTTATGAAGATCAACCTAGATGTCTTAAGGTCTCTAACCTTAAAGGCTAATGTTCTGTCTTAGGAAAACGTTCTTTCCTTAGATATTAACTATCTGCTTTTACAGTAAAACTGGAGACAACCATGTACAGTTAAAATCAAATTGACTTCAAGAGGACTAATGGTCTACTGATTTTTGACATAGACCATACCAATGATTGTATAAAATCTATAACTTTTCTACTTGAAAGATATAGTTGATGTCACAATATATTATCCATTTGCCAAACTATATAGGTATCATCTCCGTTAGAAAAAGGTGATCAACATTTAATATAACTATATCATTACCATTACTGTGTCAAATTAGAAAAGAAAACAGTATTAATACAAAAATGAAAGGAATTCCAGTGATGAAACAAGAGACGATTCAGGGTAGGTAAAGTGAGAACTCATTTGGTTTCTTCAATTTTATGCTGAGGCTTAGACAAATTCTTGAAATAAAAAAGTAATGTATCAAGTACTATAGTACATATATATAGCAATGATTTCATAAATAGAAGAATCCTGTGTTCAGATTGCAGATGCTCAAGTGCAAACATGTCCCAATGCAGAGGTTTAATTGATAATTTTAATGCTTGGTTACCTAAAGAAGGTATGACTGAATCATCAATATCCTTGCCAACCTGCTACCACACACTGCATGGCTAGTTCTACTCCTGCAGCTACAGGACACTGGAGAGCTCAAACATATTCGGCAGCTTTGATCATTTAATTTCACTTAGGTTTAATCAGATTTTTGTAGGCCCTCCAAAGTGATGCCTTTAAAAAAACACTGTATAATTATAAAAATAAAGAACTTAGGATGATTTCATTAAAGGGAGATATAGGGTAGGAAGATGAAGGAAGATTATTTTATTTTTCATCACTGATTTCACCAGCAAATCTCAAAAACCCAAACCTACATCAAATAATTTAAACAGAAGTGGCATTTTCTTCATATGGAATGCAAAATGCACACATTCACATACTTACATATACATAAATATATACATATATGCTTCCTTTACAAAGCTTCAAAGGTTGCATTACCAGCATGCAAACCTCTTCTTCCATGGAAATTGCTAATACTGACAAGGAATGTCTAAAATACTTAGAGACATATTTCCAGAAAACTGGATTCTCTTTTCTTCTCGGCTCTTAAGAGAATTTTCCTGCCAAACTTCTACCAATGATCTTTAAAAAAAAATTTACACCTACATTGGTAATACATTTAAAACATACTAACAAAGTGGCCAGCTCAGACTTAAGAAAAATGAGGAAAAGAAATCCCACAATTAATTTTTACCCTTAGAAGGTGAGGTTCAGCTTTTTATATTCTTTTTCAGCCACGTTATGTTGCATTACTGTGAAAACAGAAGCAGCATATCATCCAAGATATTTGCACATAGTGTATGTGTCACGTTTCCCAGCTGCTATCTTTAAATGCAATTTGTACTAATCTGAGTTCTAGTTCAAAAGCATCTGGACGATCCTGAGGGTTTGCAGCCAGCATTTCCTTAATCAGTTGTTTCATTCGCCCATTCATAGACTTTTTCTTCACAGGAATAAGAAGTTCCATTTTGGGATTTTCCAGAAGTGCCTCCCCAACAGGCACAATCTCAGCTCCTTGTTTCACGTAACTCCCCAAGAGCTCCTTCTTTGTCTCTGTGTCTATGAATGTGATCCTCTCCAGCATGGCCCAGATGATGATCCCCAGAGCAAAGATGTCAGCTTTGGCTGTGTAATGTCCCTCCCAGACTTCAGGAGCCATGTAGAAATCTGTTCCGCAGGCTGTGGAAAGGAAACACTTGTTTACACTGACAGGTTCTTCTGGGTTCTGCCCAGAGGCTGAACACACTTTACTTAGACCGAAATCAGCCACTTTTAGTGTGGGTTCCAAGTCACTGGTATCCAACCTGCTTTGAGAAATCAAGATGTTATCAGGTTTAAGATCTCGATGGATGATCTGATTTTTATGTAAGAAAGCCAGGGCACTGCTCAGCTGAAGCATGAAGCTGGTGTTAGTTTTACGATTGGGTTTCCTGGACAACAGATACTCATTCATATCTCCTCCATCACAAAAATCCATTACAAACCACAAGTAATAGGCGCTTCTGGGATCAAAGGCAATTTCTCCTTTTAATGAAGTCTCTACGAGCTATAAGAAGGAAAAGAAAATAGTTTATATAATTCAGCTATAAAAAAAAAAGTAGTCGGTTAAGTTAGTCTCCAATTTTATGTGGATATTCTGTAAATATTTTATTTGGTCAGTGTTTTCAATGCGCATGCTATTTTAAACTTCAGTACTTGAAACTGTCACTTTGTCCCTAATGAGTACACACCAATCTCCAAGTCAAGAGCTAAAAACTTATTTAAAAATAGCTTTACTTTGAAAAGTATCCAACTGCATGTGTCAATGGAGTTGAACTCTACCCACTTAGCTAATAGCTTCATGAAAATATTGATGTTTAGCAGTTAGATCCTGGGAGATTGCCAGCTGGCATATAAACACCAATTAGGAAATATTTAATGAAACTGCCTGAAATATTCTTCTTCCTCACTGCACATAGGCTATCAACATCATCTAAAAATCGAGAAAAAATGATCAAGGAACAAGTGGTTATTACAGAAATAAAGTGCTCCTGTAGTCACTGATGAAAAAAAGACACATTACTCTATTCACTTCTACAACCAGAATGCAAATGTGTTGGCTCTCTGTATCACTGATGGCTTCTAAAAATCCAATTTATAAAAATTGTATATTTCGCCGAAACCGGTCTGGCTCAGTGGATAGAGTGTCGGCCTGCAGACTGAAAGGTCCCGGGTTCGATTCCGGTCAAGGGCATGTACCTTGGTTGTGGGCACATCCTCAGTAGGTGGTGTGCAGGAGGCAGCTGATCAATGTTTCTGATTCACTATCTCTCTCCCTTCCGCTCTGTAAAAAATCAATAAAATATATTTTAAAAAAATAAATAAAAATTGTATATTTCTTTGATATTTCAGCTGAAAATCTGGAATAAATTAGTTTATTTGTTATTACCTAATTATAAATCTCCTATTATTTGAAATTCAAGAATATTAATTTCTTTACTGAACATGAACTACCATTCTAAAATACAGGTATATAGCCCTGAATGGTGTGACTCAGTGGTTGAGCATCCATCGACCTATGAACCATGGGGTCTTGGGTTAGATTCCAGGTGAAGGCACATGGCCTGGGTTGTGGGCTGGATCCCCAGTGTGGGGCAAGCAAAAAGCAGCCAATCCATGATACTCTCCTTTCTCATTATTGATGTTTCTATCTCCTTCTCCCTCTCCCTTCCTCTCTGAAATTAACAAAACAAAAAAAAATTAAAAATAAATAAAATATAGGATATAGTGGTTTGAAAATATATGTCTGTCAGTGTCCTCTTTAGAACCATGGGTTTAAAAGAAACTCAGGAGGGAAGCAGAAGAACTCTTCGTTGTTGAAGAGTGAGTGAACTGCCAACTTCACTTTCAAATCTACGGGTACTTCCTCTTGTCACTTTGGCGGGCAGAAGCAAAGAACAATTCTCTGTGCCATTTCCCCCCATGGCAAACAACAGTAATTGCAAAGGTCTGCTATGTCCTTTTTGCCTGCATTTTCTTTGTTGCCAAGTGTTTGCCAGTGAAAACAGAAAATGAAAGACTATATAATAGTTATTTACCAGGTGCATTGTTACTAAATATGCTGAGAGTAAAGACTAGTACCATCACTCTTACTTCACTCTCTTTTTCTGCCTTTACTCTCAAAAGCAAACTTCCTAAATAGTTTAAGCAATGCGAAGACCCAGCATTCAAAGAATGGTTTAGAGTAAGGCCAGATAGTAAATACATATTTTAGGCTTACAAGTCACATAAGCTCTCTGTTTCATGTTCTTTGTCCTTTCATTTTTTTTTTTAATTCTTAAAAAATATAAAAACTATTTTTAGCATTTAGGCCATACAAAACTGGTCTAGGTTAAAGTTTGAGGTCCTCTGATTGACAGCTATAGCATTACAGAGCCCAATTTGCTTATTTTCATGTGTAGAAGATGTTAGTCACTGGCTCTCTTGCCTAAAATCCTTCAATAGCTTTCCTGTTCTCTTTGGATATAGACTAAGCCAGTGGTCGGCAAACTCATTAGTCAACAGAGCCAAATAGCAACAGTACGATTGAAATTTCTTTTTTTAAAGAGTTTTTTAAAAAAATATATATTTTATTGATTTTGTACAGAGAGGAAGGGAGAGAGATAGAGAGTTAGAAACATCGATGAGAGAGAATCATCGATCTGCTGCCTCCTGCACACCCCGTACTGGGGTGCCTGCAAGCAAGGTACATGCCCTTGACTGGAATCGAACCCGGGACCTTTCGGTCCCCAAGCCGACGCTCTATCCATTCAGCCAAACCGGTTTCAGCTGAAATTTCTTTTGAGAGCTGAATTTTTTAAACTTAAACTTCTTCTAATGCCACTTCTTCAAAATAGACTTGCCCAGCCTGTAGTATTTTGTAGAAGAGCCACACTCAAAGGGCCAAAGAGCTGCATGTGGCTCTCGAGCCGCAGTTTGCCAACCATGGGTCAAGGCTCTTTAACAAGGGCTAAGGGCTCCTGTGTGCGCTAACCTCTGCTGCGCTTTCTAGCCTCATCTAAAATAACTTATCCTAGCCTAGTCAGGTGCAACTCAGTGGTTGAGCGTTGACCCAGGAACCAAGATTCCTGGTCAGGCTGGGTGTGGACAAGATTCCCAATTTAGGGTGTCCAGGAGACAGCTGATCAATGATTCTCTCTCATCATTGATGTTTCTATCTCTTTCTTCCTCTCTGAAATAAACAGAAATATATATATATATATAAAAACACACCAAAACCTCATTCTATACATTAAAGTCTTACTATTTCTTTCAATTCTTAGAACGCGTAATACTTTTTTACTTCAATAGATTTGTATGCATAGTTCTTTCTGCCTAGGAAGTTTTCTTATTCACCTGGCTAATTCCACTTCACCCTACAAGTACAGTTAAAGCAGTAAACAATTACTGAACCCCAGGATGTCAGTTTCCCTTTTACATGTTCCCATGCTATCCTGTACTTCTCACTCATGACACTTACCACAAGTATGCAGAATGGCCACTAAGTACCTATGCATGAGATTGTGTCCTCTGTTAATTACTTGTTTTACATTTTCTTCTAGGTGAGGTGGTTAGATATCAGGAACTGATTACTTTTTTTTCTTTTTAATCCTCACCTGAAATTATTTTTTTCATTTATCTTTAAAGAAAGAGTGGTAGGGGAGGAAGGAAGATAAAGAGAGAGGAACATCGATGCGAGAGACACATAGGACTATTTGCCTCCCACATTCGCTCCAACCAACCAGGGCTGGGTATCAAACCTGCAACTGAGGTATGTGCCCTTGACTGGGAATCAAACCTGCAACCCTTCAGTCCTCTGGTGGATGCTCTAACCACTGAGAAACCGACCAGGGCAAGAACTGATTTAATGATTCCAACAGACAACAAAGAAGCTATCTGGAAAAACATGGAGAAAAATAAAAGATTTATATTGAGAAATGAGAAGACTATGCATAGGAACTCTGTGGCCACTCTCTAGGTTTAATTGTCTTTACCAGATATAAATATTGGTTGGCTTTACTAGATATAAATTTAGATAAACTAAATGTATTGATGAATATCTGGTTAACTAAACAAATCTATAGAAAAGACAATTTTAATAGGTCTACCTAGCACTGAGTACTCCTATATGTTAAATATTTTATCTGCATCACTTCTAATTTTGACAACTCCCATGGAAGGTAGAAATTATTATTCATATTTTACACACAAGAGGTAGATGCTGGGGAAAGGTAGATTATTTATTTATTCAAGGTCCTATACCTACCAAAAAGGGCCACAAGTAAAACACAAGTCTATCAAGCTTTAAAAGAGATTACCGCCGAAACCAGTTTGGCTCAGTGGTAGAGCGTCAGTCTGCGGACTAAAAGGTCCCAGGTTCGATTCCGGTCCCAGGTACGTTGGTTGCGGGCACATCTCCGGTAGGGGGTGTGCAAGAGGCAGCTGGTTGATTTTCTCTCTCATCGACGTTTCTAGCTCTCTATCTCTCTCCCTTCCTCTCTATAAAAAATCAATAAAAATATATTAAAAAAAAGAGATTACTAAACAAAAAGGTGTTTTAGATTTTTAAAAAGTTATCACTGCCCTGGCCAGTGTGGCTCAGTTGATATTTTGTCTCATACACCAAAAGATTGGAGCACTGTCTCATACACCAAAAGGTGATGAATTCGATTCCTGGTCAGGGCACATACTCAGGTTTTGAGTTCAATTTCATTATCATGTTTCTCTCTCACATCGATGTCTCTCCCTCCTTTCCTTTCTCTAAGATCAATTTTTTAAATTTTATTTTATATTTTATTGATTTTTTACAGAGAGGAAGGGAGAGAGATAGAGAGCTAGAAATGTCGATCAGAGAGAAACATCGACCAGCTGCCTCTTGCACACCTCCTACCGGGGATGTGCCCGCAACCAATGTACATGCCCTTGACAGGAATCGAACCTGGGACCTTTCAGTCTGCAGACCAACGCTCTACCACTGAGCCAAACCGGTTTTGGCTAAGATCAATTTTTAAAAAAATCACTGAATCAAGTTTGGAAGTACTTCTATCTTAAACCTTAAAAGACCAGCTGATACCTAGTTACTATAAAGCTTGCTTGATCTGGACTCAAGGATATCATCAGCACTGTCATGTGTTTAAATGTCTTGGTCTCCAAAATTCAATGGAAGGTTCTATACACTTTTAAGAGCAAATTTGGTGGTAAGAATATTTCTGATACTTTCTGAGTGTAACTTACAAAATAAGCACCTTTAGAAAAGTAAACGAAACCAAATAGAGGTAAAATAGTTGTGTTTTGTTTAGTCTTAGAAAACTTCAGGGCATAGCATGGTAAACTGCATATTAAATTCTCAAGATTGATATTTGTTCACCATACAGTAGAACTAATTACACATACACATATTTTTCTCTAATCTGTAAGCCTTTGTTGTTTTAAAAACAGACTTTTGCCTAATGGTAAATTCTGAATTGAGACAAACTCATGGAAAATTGTTTCCTTTCCCAAGAATGACTGGACTTAAGAAATTTTGTTCTGGCCTTTAACTAGCTATGTCTTAAGAATCTTTTCTCTTTAGTGAGTATAAAGTTATTAGAGATTTTGGTCAATGGCAGAAGCCAACCTAAAAAAAACCTAACCTTTTCTGTTTTCCTGTTAATGTTTTTCCCAAGTCTACAAAAGAGTGACATGGAGGCAAAAGAATAATTTGGAGGTTAAGAGAGCACAATTTTTTAGTTTCCAATTCTGATAATTGCTAGCTATGTGACTCTGTATATAATCTAAACCTGTTTCTTCATTTGAATGTAGATAATAATAGTACTTTTCTCATAGTATTGTTCTGAACAACTGCCTTTAAGCACTTAGCACATAGCATGGAACTAAGTAGGAACCCAATCGTTAGCTTTAGCACTGTTAATAACATTCAGGTGCTAAGTCACATACTTCATGAAAATTAAGTGGGACTGAATGGTTAAAAAACTATATCATCGTCTAAAACAGCAAAGGCTTATGTTCAAAGCAGTGTCCTATGGTGCTGCTATTGACTGTGGAGATTTTCTTTTTCTTTTATCTTCAGTTTTAAGAAATTTATTTCAAATAAGTAAACTTATCAGGATCCAGTTTTGATCACTTCTCTAGCTCCTATGCTGCCCCATTCCTATGCAGACTGGCAAATATCATAGCATAACAGGTGGCTTATATTATTTTTAGGTATTTGCATCATGGTCTAAATAACACCTTGTTTTAAAGCAAACATCTATTCAATCTTTGGCAGACCCCTATCTATGCCTAACTATATAAGCACTTGCATTTAAAAGTAGTTCATCTGATTCTTTCATTCCTCTTTTTGCTTACCAATGTTACATTCAAATCATTTCTATTTCCCATTTAAGCACACATACCTGTAAATAGAGGGAAGAATTAGAGCCATGGGACATCTTTTGCACCATCCCATCTTTTTGTAGAATGCATTCCTCCAAGTGAATCACATTTGGATGTTGGCTCTTGATACTGCTTAGGGCCCAGAACTCTCGCAGGGCTAGTTCAACATTCTCAGGAGCATGGCATCGAATTTTCTTCACTGCCACGCGTGCAGAGGTCTTTCTGATGACTGCTTCATACACAACACCGTAACTACCTCGGCCTACCTCCCGTATTAGATCGTACTTTGGCTGGCTACTCACCATCTTCAAGGTCAAGGCTTCTGGAAAAATCAACAAAATGCTTTATTGAAATTAAGCATGCCTACTGGCTTGTATTGCTTCTTATGTACGATTTAGCTATCGTTTCTCTCACTGTTTGCAATGCTTGAAAGATATTTGCTATGCCTTGGGCAAATCTAAACATTTTAATAATAATAGTAAAAAAGCTAACATTACTGTAGTACTTACCATCTATCAGGAACCGTGTCAAGCAATTTTTAATAAGGTTGGGGCAAAAGTAGGTTTATAATTGTGACTAAGCAAAAGTTTACTCTTTTAAAATATATATATATATATAATTTTATTCATTTCAGAGAGTAAGGGAGAGGAAGAGATAGAAACATCAATGATGAGAGAGAATCATTGATTGGCTGCCTCCGGCAAGTACCCTACTGGGGATCTAGCCCACAACCGAGACTGAACCCAGGATCCTTCAGTCCAAAAGCTGATGCTCTATCCACTGAGCCAAACAGGCCAGGGCAAAAGTTTATCCTTGTATTATTATTTATTAATTATTATATTATTTTCCAAACGAACAACTGTAAACCTACTTTTGTCCCATTTTGTATTCTGGATATCAACCCTTTGAAAGATATTTGTATTAATCCACTTAATCCTCAGAATAATACTCTGAAATAGATACTATTGTCATTTTAAGGTGAGAAAACTAAAGCATTGAGAGTTTAAGCAACATGCCCAAAGTTGGTTAGTAACTGGTGGACCTGAGATTTGAAACCAGGACACCTGGCTCTGACATCAGTAATTTTAACCATTACACTATAGTGCCTCTTACAAAAACTGCTTCAACAGTCACTTTAAAAATAAACCAAAAAATTCAGCATTCTTACTTACTGATCACACACAAAAAAAAAAAATAAAAAAAAAATTCTAGCATCTCTTTAAAGCTCACACACACACATACAAAAGGTCATAAAACAGCAAAACCCCCTCCTAGTTAGAAATACAAACACCTGGCTTATGCTTAGGGGCTGAAAGTGAACCAGATCACATTTAGAAATGAAAACGTGTCAAGTCAAAATGCATATGTTCCTATTTTAATGTTATGTTACTTCCTTATTTCTTGCAAACTAAATGAAAATAAAGTCTGTGGAGGGAAAAAGAAACAACGTTCCTTTCAAAATAAAGGAAGCTCCTTAGAATATGACTACCTTCCTGTCGTTGGACAACAGTTATTTAGATCTAGGTCATTTTTTTGCCAACAAAAAGTGTCCTACATATCAAGGGGCTCTCTTTGTTTGTGGGAACAAAAAAGCTACAGATCCTTGAGCCTGAAAGATTGGGAAACAGCTATTTGAAGTTCACAGGGATGATTGAATAAAGAAAACGAAAGCTTCTGAGATTGCTTCTCGGCCCCACGTCCTCTGATTGGACACCCACCCTTCAAACTCCTGGTGCACTTCCTAGCGCCTGATGTCCCGGCCGGAACCCTCTGCCCTAACCGCACGGCAGACTTTCCTTCCCGCTTTCCACGGATGGCCAAGTGTTGCCCATCTCCAGGTGGCTGTGTCTTGGAGACCGTCCCATTTACCCGTCCCATATACCTCCAGGAGGGGGAGGGCGGGTGTGTAGGAATCCTTGCGATCCGATCAAAACACAACAAGGCGATGCTCCCTGTGCTCACCTCCGAGCCTGAGGTGGGCATCCCGGGCCCTCCCGCCCGCTGTGCCCACTCGGCGCCGGGACGCGAGCCGGCCGGGCCGCACACCTGCCGGTGCCCGGGGCGGGGCGGGCCGGTCCGGGGCAGAGGTGCCTCCAGACGCGGCAGCGGCGGGCCCAGCTCATTGGCCAAGGAGCAGGCCCACCCCCTCTTCAGCCGCGTCCAGACCAAACCCGGAGGGAATCCTCCCGAGGCCCTGCACCCGCAGGGGCCGGTCCGGCGGCTGCCCCGACCCCCGGGGAGCTGGCGGCCGAGGCCCGGGGGCCCGGGGAAGAGGCCACAGGCGTTAAGAGGAGGCCGGTGGCCTGAGGTGTGCGGGCCTGAGGGGCGCGAGGCCATCCCCGGGAGGGAGGACTCTGCTGACTGGGCGGTGACAGGCCCCCTGGAGAGGCAGGCACCTGCGAAGCCCTCGGCCCTGCAGCGGGGCCTCCCCGCAGGGCTGGCGGGCCGGATTTACCTCAGGGGAGCCGCCGCCGCTTCTCCCTCTCACGGGCTCTGCAGGCCGCCATTATCGGGCAGCTCGCGCCTCCTCCGCCGCCGCGGCCTCCCGTCAGAGGCCGGCGCGCGCCCCCGTGCTGCGCGGACTCAGCACCCGGCGCCCCGGGCCCCGCCCCCTCCGGGTTTCCGTAGCGCGAGCCGCACGCAGCGCCGTCCCCATTGGGCGCGAGAGCCGCACGCAGCGCCGTCCCCATTGGGCGCGCGCCCCGCGCCCTGCGCCCCGCGCTCCCGGCCACCCCCGCGCTTCCCGCTCCCGGGACTTCCAGGAGTCGGGAGCCGGGAAGGTGTGCGCGCCCCGGCACAGACCACTCCTGTCCCGCCACGCAGGGGAGGTCGGGCCCTGGGGCGAGGAGGCCACGCCACGCTTGGGACTCGGCCGCGGCGGGCGAGCACGGCCCGGGTCCCGGGCGGGTCCCGGTCCTCGGCAGCAGGTCTGGGCGCGGGGCGCACGCTCTCGGCGCGGCCACCCCTCTCCCTCTCCGCCCCCCACGCCGACCTACCCCGCTGCGGGCCGGCGTGCGGGAGTCGCTGGGGCTGGACGCCCGGGGCATCTTCCTCGGCGGGGGCCTAACTTGTGTGCGGGAAGCGGAGCGCCGTTGCGGGCCCGCGGAGAGGCGCGGCCCGAGCCGGGAGGCCTGGCGTCGGCCCCACCGGCAGGGAGGCTGCCCCTTTGGTCAGCGTCTCCGGCCCATGTTGGCGGGCGGCGGCGATGCCGGGCTGGGTGCGATCCTCTGGGAAGACGCCGTCCCCTGCCCCGCCGGCGCGGTGGTATCTCCCTTAAAGAAGCCGGCGCCTCATTCATTGTTCGTGGGCCGCGGCCGCCGGGAGTCGGGGCGCCCAGCTCGGCGTGTGGAGGAAGGGACAGGGGCGCCCGCACATCTCCTGCTGGACGGCCGTGCCCGCGGGCTCCTGGGGAGTCCACATCCGGCCGGTGCGCGGCGAGAGGCGGCGGGCGGAGCCGGCGGGGCCGGGGTTGGCAGAGAACAAGCGGCGCTCCCGGGCCGGCGGGCTCTCCGCGCGCATTCGCCCGGCCGGCCCTCGGCTGTCAGTGGCTCGGGGACCAGAGCCACTCCGTCATTCAGTTAGTTACACAGCTGAATAAGCACCCGCCAGAAACGTCCATTCCTTCTCCACCTGTCAGGCACCTCCTGTTGTCAATAAGGCAGATGTTCCTCCTCCCGTTGCTGTATAAAAGGCACAATTTGCAAAGGATCCGCCACCGCCTTCAAGGATCAATTACCCATTTTATTTTCTGTCCTCCATTTATTGACCTTCTGTCTGGAACTGACTTTAGAGAAGGTCTAAATGACCCAAACCCACAGGCTTTATCATTAACCCTATTTTTACAAAAATGAGGAAACGGACTTATTTGATCTGAAGGTGTCTGTTTCTTGGGGGGAGGTGCCTGCTTTGAATACTCACACCCCTACTGTAACACCTCCCCTCCCATCATCCTACCTCCCAAAAACTGATCTGTAATCTTGTCCTGAGTGCCATGTACCAGACTTCCATCTTTCTACCGGGACTACTGGGGTCAGCCAAGGCTTGGTTTCTGCTCTTGAAAGTAGAGGGGAAACACGGAAGGCTCTAGACAGCTAGCTACCTGTATGGATAATTGATCAGAATGGGGATGGATATCTAGGCAAGAGGAGGCTCTTTTGTTTGTCTCAATCATTAAATATAGGAGCCCCTTCTTTCTATTTGGCTCCAGAACAGATGTGAAGTCCACCCCCTTCAATCCCCAAAGCACGGCTGAGCCTAGTCTGTCAGATGGATTCAGGATTTGTGGAGTTTGAAACTTAAACAATTTAGGAAAAAGACTACAAATTGGCCATGTAAACACATTGCTGGGGCCTTAGAAAGGGTTTCTTTTAAAAATATATATTTTATTGATTTTTTTTTACAGAGAGGGAGAGAGAGGGATAGAGAGCTAGAAGCATCTATGAGAAAGATCATTCAGCTGCCTCCTGCACACCCCCCACTGGGGATGTGCCCGCAACCAAGGTACATGACCTTGACTGGAATCAAACATAGGACCTTTCAGTCCGCAGGCCGACACTGTACCCTCTGAGCCAAACTGGTTTTGGCAAGGGTTTCATTTTTTATAAATATATTTCTTTTATTGATTTCAGAGAAGGGGAGAGAGATAGAAACATCAATAATGAGAGAGAATCATTGATCACCTGTCCCCTGCACACCTACCTGGGCATGGTTTATAGATCGACACTGAGCCACATCAGCCAGGCAAGAAAAGTTATTTTTATAGAATTACAACTAATAAACACAGAAGAGATTATAGCATTAGAAAAGTATGATTTTGCAAACCCTAATGAGATACTGCAGCTAGGCAAAGATCATGTAATGATGCTAAAACATTTGGGTGAAAAATTGTTGGGTAATTGAAATGGAGAGCTTAGGGTGGCACAGCCTGAACCCATTAACCTGGCTTAAAAATCACTAAGTGCTCTTCATGAAATATTATTGCAGGGGGGGAAAAAAGGAGAATCTAAGCCTAATTAAGTCAAGATCCAATTACTTGGCCCTAACAGGTTTGGCTCAGTGGATAGAGCGTCAGCCTGCGGATTGGAGGGTTCCAGGTTTGATTCTGGTCAAGGGCATTACCTTGGTTGTGGGCACATCCCCAATAGGAGGTGTGCAGGAGACAGCTGATCGATGTTTCTCTCTCATCAATGTTCCCTCTCCCTTTCTGTGAAAAATCAATTAAAAAATTATTTATATATATATATATATATATATATATATATATATATATATATATATATCTCCAATTACTTGGCTAGGTTACCAA